CCTTCCTCCCTACCTCCTTTATTCATCCATCTTCTCGCTCCCTTATTTTTTCCTTCATCTTTCTTTCCTTCCCTTTCTTCTCTTCTTTGTGCCTTCCTCCCTACCTCCTTTATTCATCCATCTTCTCGCTCCCTTATTTTTTCCTTCCTTTCTTCTTCTCCCTTTCTTTCTTCTTCCTTCCCTTCTGTGCCTTATTTCCTTCCTCCCTTTCTCATTCATCCATCTTCTGGATGCCTTATTTTTTCCTTCCTTCCTTTTCATCTTTCTTTTTCTCTCTCTCTTTCTCCATCCATCCATCCCATTTCTTCCTTCCCTTTCTTCTCTATGCCTTATTTCCTCCCTCCCTTTCCTCCTAATTCATCCATCTTCTAGATGCCTTTCTTCCTTCCTTTTCTTCTGTGCCTTATTTCCTCCCTTCTTCATTCATCCATCTTCTCGCTCCCTTATTTTTTCCTTCCTTTCTTCCTCTTCCTTCCTTTCTTCTTCCTTCCTTCCCTTTCTTCTGTGCCTTATTTCCTTCCTCCCTTCCTCATTCATCCATCTTTTGGATGCCTTATTTTTTCCTTCCTTCCTTTTCATCTTTTTTTCTCTCTCCATCCATCCATCCATCCCATTCTTCCCTTCCCTTTATGCCTTATTTCCTCCCTCCCTCCCTTTCCTCCTCATTCATCCATCTTCTAGATGCCTTCCTTTTCTTCTCTATGCCTTATTTCCTCCCTTCTTCATTCATCCATCTTCTCACTCCCTTATTTTTTCCTTCACCTTTCTTTCCTTCCCTTTCTTCTCTTCTCTGTGCCTTCCTCCCTACCTCTCTTATTCATCCATCTTCTCGCTCCCTTATTTTTTCCTTCCTTTCCTTCCTTTCTTCTTCCTTCCCTTTCTTCTCTTCTGTGCCTTATTTCCTCCCTCCCTTCCCTCCTCATTCATCCATCTTCTAGATCCTTCCTCTTCTTCTGTGCCTTATTTCCTCCCTTCTTCATTCATCCATCTTCTCGATCCCTTATTTTTTCCTTCCTTTCTTCCTCTTCCTTTCTTTCTTCTTCCTTCCCTTTCTTCTTCTTTCCCTTTCTTCTCTTCTGTGCCTTATTTCCTTCCTCCCTTTTTCATTCATCCATCTTTTCGATGCCTTGTTTTTTCCTTCCTTCCTTTTCATCTTTCTTTCTCCATCCATCCATCCCATTCCTTCCTTCCCTTTCTTCTCTATGTCTTATTTCCTCCCTCCCTTCCTCATCCATCCATCTTCTTGATGCCTTTCTTCCTTCCTTTTCTTCTCTATGTCTTATTTCCTCCCTCCCTTCCCTCCTCATTCATCCATCTTCTAGATTCCTTCCTTCCTCCTCCCCCCTCTCCTTTCCCCTTCTACTTTTTTGGGGAAAATAACATGCTGGCTGGGGGATTCTGGGCCCTGGAGAGTCCCAGGTGGGGAAGCCCTGGGCCAGGCAGAGGGACCCCTCACCGCCGTGCCCATCCTCTCCAAGGTCTCCTCGTTGATGGGGTACCGCAGCTTCATCTTGCGGTAGAGCGGGTGCTTCTCGTAGTAGCTGACCAGGTCGAGGAGGCTCTCAAATTCCGCCGAGCTGCCCAGCGTGAAAAGCCGCCCCTCCTGTTGGACCCGGCAATGCTTGATCTTCCCTTCGGCCCTGGGGGGGGGAGGGGAGGGGACAAAGCCCGTCAGACAAAGGTCCCCAAATCACGCTAAGTCCAGAGGAGAAGCG